GTTGTTTTTTTTTTTTTTAATTTGAGAGGCACTGCTGCTAAAGGCAGATTCCCAGAGATACTGGAAGCCAAAAGAGGGAACAGAGAACTTTACTTTCCTGTCTCCTGTACTTTGGAGGTACCTTCCTGTCCATGTTTCTCACTTACCCAGATTGACAGGACTCCCATATAGCTCTTCACTGCATCTGGACTGTGATGGATGGTTAAAATGGAACCAATTCTTACAGTGTAATGTAGGGATCTGAAATCAAACAAACAAGGTTAGATATGATTGAAATCCTGAGCATCATGTTGTGCAAATGGTTTGGACTAGGTACATTGTATGTTGCATGCCCTTAGAGTAGCCTAAGGAGGAGGAGGAGGATGAATTTTGGAGCCCCCATTAACTAAGGTAGCAGATGTTAACAGGTGTCATATCTTAATTATTAATTCATTAACAGTATTAACAGGTATCACACTTGCCAGAAAGATTTCCACACTATGGTACATCATAACATGGCTCACATCGACAGTTTAGTATTTTGGAATTGAAAGGCATGTTAGAGACACCACTCTTCCTGCATCCACCATTTATTCCCCATATGATTCTGTTAATGTTATCATCCACTTGCTGTTTTTAGTACTAAAAGTGGAAGACATGAGAACAGAAATGCCCTGTTTCTGAGGTTCAAAAAGACTGTTCATAAAAGATGATCTATTAGAATAATGAATTTAATTCAAGTAAATACTTTTTTTAAAATCATGTATGTCTCTGCTATACCTGTTGATCTGAAAAGCCTCTCTCTTTAAATCACCCTTATTTTCAGCTGTTTTGTGGTAGCAATAAACATACATCTGTCCTAAGAGACATTTCAGAAGAAAGCTAACAAGATAAATGGTTTAGAGTTCTTTATGTATTTCTCAGATTACACTCTAGGGCATGAGGAAAACATGCTGTTATTCTCAATGCTCTTGTAACACCGCAGAGAAGAGCTGTTAATAAGCAATTATGAAAACTTTACAGTTAAAAAAAAGGTTTTCTTCTTATATTTGTGTAAGAACAGGGTGGACTGTGTTGGGGGGGGTTCTTGTTTTACATAGCACAGAAATATTTGTACTTTATTAAGGTAGCTGGGGGTGACAGTATTTATCACCAGAGAACTCATTAATTCAGCACTCTAGATTTTGACTAAACAAATTGGAATGCCAGGTGTCAGCAGTACAGGGCGTTAAAGGCAAACAGAAACAAAATTCAAAAGAAACTGAAGAAAGACTGATCTTAAATTAGCTTATGTTTGTGCTTTTCTGTAAGGATTAGATTCTACTCTCTGTTTTCACTTACTCCCATACACAGTTCTGTGAAAGCATGCATATGGTTGTAATGTAAAACTTTGTATAAGAATATTAACTATTTCTTCTTGCATTACCTGTAATCCCAGAAAAGGGAATACCAAGAGTTTTGTGGTTTAAGTGGCATCCCATCCCTCAACCACCAAAACAGGAGAGAAGAAGCCCTCTCAGTATGTAGTTGGGCAAGTAAAAAAAATCTGAAGTCCTTGGATTTTTGCAGCATGGTAAAAAACAGTGGTAAACTTGGTATTACTACTTTTTGTCCTCGTTCTGCATGGATGAGCTTGTCAGTACAAGCATGTTTACAGTGATGTATTGTAAAGCAAATTAACTCACACAGTTAAATGCTGCTGCAGGCAGACTTCTGCCTCAGACTACCAAGAGCTGATTTTCCAGAGTCTTTCCAAAGACTTTCAAAAGATGGATGATTTTCAAAATATCTGCCATCTGTAGTTCTGATGCTAGGCTTTAAAAACAGTTTGGCATCTAGCCTGGTGAAGCCTTAAGAAAATCTAATCACTTAGATGTGTAACGGAAAATATGTTAGAATGTTTTCTAAAGTGGCTTAGGAGGCAAAAACCAAAAACAAAGTAGAAGAGCTTAGTCTGAAGTTCAGATTAATATATGAACTATAGTTTTGTGAATTATTCCTTCAGGTTATGAAGGCAGAACAGGAATGGCATGTATTCGACTAAAGGAAAACTCTGAATTTAATGCAGAAAGTACTTACAGACACGTTAAAACTCACCTTCCAAAATATGCAAGACCTCGTTTTATAAGGATTAAGGTAAACCAGTGTTCCTAAGTAGCTTTTGTGTGTCCATCCGCATTGTGTTTCTTCTATTTTCTATGAGGACTACAGACTTCCTACTTACACTAGCAATTCTCAAAAAGGCGTCTTTTAATCTCTCACTTGCTCTTGTCATTTACCAGTATGTAAGTACAACTGCAGCCAGATGTTTTTTTCAGGCTGAACTGAAACAAGTTGCAAGAGCAGTTGCAGGATACCTGTCACATTTTAACATTTGAAATCAGGAAATTCTCTTGGAAAATACATTTCCTATTGTATTCCTTTAGCACACTAATACGGGTGTGTTCTCCCTTCAGTGTTGCTCCCTCTACAGATTGTTCTGTGCAAAATAAAGATCCACACACAAGCAAATACAAGAGTTGTTTTTTGTGAGAGAGGCCTTAGATTTTTATTCTACCAGTGAGTAAGTAGCCAAATTCTGAACGGAAGTTTAACCTACGTTAGGAAAATGTTGCAAGAATATCACTCCCACCGTACTTCTCAAGTTATTTAAAATAAATATTGCTCCTTTGAGAAATGTTGCATATTCACTGGGGTGATTCAAGAGGACTAACACAGAGATACTACCATGTCTACCTGTTTAATTAGCCTTTAAACTTTTGAGCTCTACAAACAAAACAGTTAACCAGTCAAGGCAGTGGTTTGCCTTGCCATTCCACGTAAAGTACAGTCTTTGTCAGTCTCCAACTGACATTTTCTTTACTTTGCTGAGAAAAAAAAAATCTCGTTTTTTGATCAGAGAACATAATTAAGTATTTCTAGATAAACCCCTTGATTCTAATAGTTAAAAACTCGTGTTTTCCTGCCTCTTTCAAATCAAATAGTAAGGTAAGCCTTTCATTTATGTGTCTGTGGCCCAGCAATTTCAGGGTAATTACCACACCATTCAGAGTAATTACCAGCCCACATATTCCAAAGTCCGGTTATTATCTGATGAATGCAGATAGTTTGGACCTCTGTTACTGAGGCTTCAACTTCTGTGCTGTATGGATTTTCTTTAAATAGGATTCCCTTTAAATTTAGGGGATCTAATCTAATTCCCACAATTATATGCTGACATTGATAAGTAGAGATGTAATTTTGTGTTTTAGAGTGCCATTGAACTTACAGCAACCTTTAAGTACCGTAAAGTACAACTAATGGAGGAGAGTTTCAATCCAGCAGTCATCGAAGATCGCCTGTATTTCCTAGATGACAGAGAAAACCTGTATGTACAAATGACCCAGGACATTTATAATTCAGTAAAAAACCATGACCTCAAATTGTGAGCAAGTAAAAAAAAAACAACAACCCCAAAACAACCTGTGTTTTATAATACTCAGTTTTTAAAGTATCTGTTATTGTAACTTTGCCAGGAAATATTTTAGTTTAATAATATTAGCAACTATCAGTATCTGAAATAAAGTGTGAATGTGAGATTGTTTTAATAAAACAGAACTTCACCAATGCTATTTGCATCTTAGCCTGGCTTCTTCTCTCGTTCATGCTTTCAATCTTGTCTACCTTCCTCTGTGTATAGAAGTATTGTTAATGCTGTGAATGTTAATACTGTGCACCTAAATATGTGAAAGTGGGTACAATGTCACACATCTTTATACAAATAATTTATATTAAAGGGAGATCCACTGCACTAGTAAGAATTATATCCCTCAGTCAAAACCACAAAACCCATTATAAAAGACCATTAAACTTACAGTTGTCTAAATTAACTAATTGAAAAAAGTCTGCATTAGATGCTTACATTAACTTTTCTCCATTGCAGCAGAGATGTCCTCTTATTTCTCATGCACCAAATACTACATACACAGAATGAAAACAATTTATAAGAACTAAGATGTATTTTCCTTTGGGTGCAAAGAGAGTAATGTCAGGCCAGACACTTCATAAAAAAGTGAGGCTTAAATTTCCCTAGCATTTAAAAAAAAGGCAAGATTATGGAATTGAATGAAATAAATTTGTTCTTACTAGAAAAATTTAGCAAACTAAATTTTACTGCTCCTTGTAACACGTGCCTCAGTATACCCCACTGTGAGTTCAGGTGGTGTTGTTTAAGGGTATGGAAATTGTTTTGACTAACCAGATGTACTGCTTATATAATATGAGCATAGTTGTACTGGGTCAGACTGAAACTATCTGGCTGAGTATGCTGCCTTCAAGATGGGGTGATTGTAGGTGTCTGGGAACAACTACAAAGGCAGCAAGCACTCAGCAGTGCTTTCCCAGGATAACCTCCTAATGATCATCACGCTTCTTGATTTAACAGTATAAAATTGCCCTCCACAGATTTTTCTGCCCCCATTTTTAATTACTCTTGAAACATATGTAAATCATTGGCCTGTTGTGGCAATGATTGTTTGCTGCATAGAGACCCCTTCTGTAATGCCCCTTAATTCTTCTGTTATGAGAAAGGGTGAAATATCATTCCTGTTCTCTTTCCTCATGCACTTGTGTTTTACAGCCTTTAGGTAATGCTGAGAAAGGCCACAGGTGCTTAGCAAAGGCCCCTGCTCTTGCACACCAGTGCACTGTCACTGATCAGCAGAGAGGATGGCATGGCTGCTCCGTTTTTAAACTTGGCATGTTTTAAAATTGCCCTAATACAGCAAAACCTCATTGAGAGGTTGCACCCTTCATTTTGCACAGTTCAGAACTGATGCTGGCATTGTCTGCACACACAGAGCCTCTCAATGGTTTAAGTCAAGGTATATAAAGTGTAAATATAGGACTGCATAGTTTACCCCCTACTGAAGCCAGCATATTTGGTTAGAATGGTTCTAGCCTGCCAGCTAGAAAGTGTCCATTACCAGGACTGGTAAGGCAGAAACTGGCATTTTCTTTACCACAGTCTACAAACCAGAGAGTTTTATTATTATATGCCTACAAGTTTTATTTGACATTTTAATCTATAGATACACGAGGTTTCCACCAGTAAAAGCACAGGGATTTTCTCAATGGTCACTGCCGATGCTTACATATTGAACAAAATAACATGTAGTATTGCATATGAATAAGCAAACTTTGGTTCCCTTTCTGCCTGGAGTAATCTTAAGGACCAATCTCTTTCACTTGTTAAACAATGGCTTGCAAAGGACAACAAGGCAGCTGAAGGCCACACTGAATGCTACACTCTGGAAAGCTTGGAACACTGTAGAACTTAATTAGTTTTTTGAAGGCACTTTTTTTGAACATCATCACCTCTTCAGGCAGCCTGGAAAGAATTCTGGTATTTTCATGAGACTCCTTCTTGTCAGTGGCTGCTGCTTTGGGGTTACATGGCTCAAGACCACCAGTCACTGGCACACTGTTGCAGCTAAGGGAACGTGCCGTCTTTTTCTTGCCTTGAACAGATAAATAACTGAATAAAAAAGAGGTTAACTTATGTTTGGTAACATCCTGGGCATCTTCTGGAAAACAGTCATCTAGAAGATCCCCTTGACTAATCACACACGTACTGGGACTTGCTGCTAGCTTCTTAGGCTGAACTACTATTTTTCTGGGAGGTGTTTTGTATTTTCCTCCATCTGGGGAAAGCTGAGAAGCATTACTAATGGCATCTGAACTAGGCTCAACTATCGTATTAGGGATTCCTGGCCCATCACCAGAACTGATGCAATGCAACCCACAATTCTGGCTAACAATCCGGGCTGCAGCGTGTTGAATGATGTTCCAGTCTTGCAGAATATCTTCCCTGGTTGTGAACTGAGATGTTACAGTAAACCGAATGATGAACTTGTCACGAATGGTTGCTGGAATAAGGAAGACCCTGCCAGAATTGCTTATTTCTTTCAGGAGTTTTTCTGTGAGCCAGTTGGGACCCTGTTTTAAATATGAATAATAAGAAAAAAAAAACATAGTTAGAATTTCCAGTGACATCCACACATCTCCATAAGAATTCCAGCATTACGAATTCTTACATGAAAGTTTATTCATAGTTCTTAATGTCTGGGGAAAGATCAGCTATGGTCAATTCATTTCAGAGACATGCAAAAGGACCTATCTTTACCTTTATTCGAAATACAACCAGTCCAAGATGTCTTTTGGCAGGAATTTCAAAGAGTGGATCACTTTTAACCAAGGATTCAAAGAACTTGGCTGTTTCAGTACCCTATAATTGAGGAATAAAAGTAGTCATGTATTGGTTTGTCACAAACCCACTGTAGACAATAAGTAGTTAAAAAGAATTCCTTTCCTTATTGGAACATATCATTCCAGTGTATGAGTAGCAGCAAACAGAAGAATGACAACAATATTTGAAAGTCTGTTTACCCAAACCCTTGACAATGAACCAGAGTAACTGGACTACACATAGGAATTTTCTAGAAGAAGGTCTGAAAACAGAATGTGTTCTCAGATTAGAGTCATTTTGTGGCAACTGCTGATCCACAATATGACCCCTTGTATTTACACTCCATCAAGGACTTAAGCCTGTAAATTTTCATAGCTATGGGTTCAGCCATTCATCTAAGCCTGCCTCCCAAACAGCTGCCACTTTGCCTCAAAGAAAGCTTCTACAGATCAGTACTCGGTAACATGCAGAAGGCACTGACTTATCAAGTCACTTTTCATTGCCTGTTGCTTTCCAGAAGGGTACAGGAAATGTTTTGTCTACACAGTCAATCTTTAGAGATTACTTAAGAGTAAAATCAGCACGCATTTAGTGTTCACACGCAAGCTTTGTGTGTGGGAGAATTTCTGTTGCTCATCTTTGCATCACTGAATTTATTCAACTTAGCTACCAGTAAGTAAGCATAATACAGTTATGCTTCCATTGTGAATTCACATACATGTCGGACATGATCTTGAAGCTTTTTCACTCCAAATGAACGAATCACAAACCACAGCTTCAAAGAACGAAATCGACGACTCAGTGGAATTTGCCAGTGCTGTGAAAACACAACAGGTATCAATGCAGAAACAACAGAAAGGCGCATCCCCCTTACCCTGCTACTGTTGTTCTTTAGGACTTGGGTCTTGACACAAGTAATTTCATACTACTGAAAATCTGCCAAGCCTAGAAAACAGCCATCAAAGAAACACTACATCTAGAGTTTTCTCAATTATTTGCCAAAGTAAGATCTTGGATATTCCCCTTAATCTAAGGCCTAGATATATTTCAAGTTTTTAGTTAATTACTAGCTAATAACACCACCTTTGCTTATTTAAAGGGCATTATCAAGTTATGATGTGTCCATTTACACTGTAGGACTGAGTGCTCACTTCAGTTCCTGTAATTTGAGTATTTAAGTTCTACCCTGAACGTTCTCCCAGATCAACCATAAACAGTGAGAGGTGATACAGGGTTAGACTTCCAGAGGAAGTAACGGCTGCTGCATGGAAAAGAGTGACAGAGCATGTAAAGGAATACTCTAGGGAGCTACACAACTACATGCAGGGCCCTATTTAACCACAAGAGGGACCCACTGATGTATTTTTTCTGCCCCTCTGTACACTCACAGTCCCCACTGAAAAGCACTATTGATTTCAAGAAAACAATTATCTTTTCAGGACTAGGGTGAGATCATAGCAGAAACAATTGGCAGTGAATATTCCTTTGGTTTACTTACTGAAAGCTCCTGTAAGATAGAAAAATGCCTCTTAGCTCCCCTGTGAATACCTCAATCTAAAAAAAAAATGTAATTCATACTACTGCTGTTCCAGAGCCTGGGCGTTTGCTTACTCCTTTCTCTCTCTATTACTACCTATGAGACATACAAGAAAACCAACTAAAATGCCATCAGCAGGAATTACTTCAGCAACACAATGCAGAGAAATGACCCTTCTATTCCAAAAGGCAAGGCTGTATTCCCATCTGTAAAAATCAAGTACTTTGATCTCTAGATCTAAAAGCAGGTTTATAATTCATTTTCATACCAGAGCTCGCTTTTGTTATTTAATCTGCATTAGCATCTCAGTATAATTGGGTTTAGGCTTTTATGTAATGAGACTAGCTATAAGAGAAGCATGCTCCAGAGTGTGAAGTATTTAGCAGTCTGTTTGAACATTTTATATGCAACTTAAAATATCAACTCAAATAACTTACCATGAAATCAACAGCAGCTCCTGAGTTCGGATGTCTGAGGTAGAGAGGGTTAACACTGAAGGTCTGATGTAACTTGCATTTATCCTTGACCCTATCAATTGCAGAATGAACTGTATTTAGCAAAAAAAATCATGCAGAGAAAGACTTAGCAATTTGCATGCTATCCTTCTGGTAGTGTTTGTGTTTTGCCTTTACTCACCAAAATCCAGTGCAGTCAAAATGAACCATCATCCATTTAGACGGGTTGAAAGTAAAGGAATCTGCATATTCGATTCCATTCAAGAACAATCGGAATTCAGGACATACAAATGCTGTTCCTGCATACGCAGCATCAATATGGAGCCAGAGTCCCTCAGCATCACCTAATGGAATTGGAATTGGTATGTCAGGGACATAAGGAATCAAAGTGCATGCTTAATCTCTCCTCTCTGAAAACTAGGTGCAATTTCTTGCAGGGTTGGATGGCCTGACAATGAGCAAGACAAACAATTAACAACCTGTTTTTACTCTAAAATTGTGCATCCAGAACTGCAAAATATAGGATAATGCTGAAATCAGATGGACTCTGTAACAAAATTCACCATTACATATGTGTGAGGCTTTTTAATGTTTGATTTCTCTTACCTGCCTTTTTCCTAAGCGAAATTCCCCAGCACAACTCAGTTCCACAAAGCCAGAAAAAAGACACAGTGGCAAGCAAAAAGGTCCCAGAGACAGAAGCCATGCTCTGACCCACAGAAAGAAATGCCACAGGGTCTTGTCAGGATTTATGCTGGAATAGAATCTGCAACCACAAACTACCTATTGAACTGGTGGCTACAAAGGACACCCTACCAAACACTACCTTCGAAACTCCTTTCTACGTTAAATATTTATGTATCCACCCTGCAGCAGTACTGCACTCTGTACTGTACAGTCTGTAGTCCACGAATAACCACATTAAAGATGTATTAGCTGGAAAATGTCATCCATCTTGAACAGAAAGTATTTTTACATCTTAATCTAAATCTTCCAGAAATCACTACAAAGTCTTGCATTGCCTTCACTGATCTTTGAGACTCGGAAAAACTCAGCTGACGAGTATTTCTGCTCTCATTGGCTTTGGCATGAAAAATTCTCATACTCTTCTGTGCTAATATAATTTAAAATTGGGAAAAAAAAAAAAAAGCCACTTACAAATTGGACCCAGTTCTGAGAGATTGTCAAAAGCACAGACACCAGTTGTACCCAGCGTTGCGCAAACCTAGAAGAAAACAAACCGGTTGAGTTGGCATTTTTTTAGTAAATGGATGCAACGCTTTCAGTGCGGAGAGGCTGTCACAGTTGCAAGTGTATCGATATTTTTTGTTCAATAAAACAGAAATTCTTTTATACCTTTTAACCTTCACTAATGTATTTTAACACAATAAGAAATGTTTCAGATGTAATTTTATCTTGACATTAAAAATACAACACTATGTGAATACCCCAGGCAGAAAGTTTACATACAAAGACTGGCACCAGGCCCTTCTTTCTGTCTTCTGCAATGGCTTTCTTCAAAGTTTCACCTCTGAGGGAAAAGTTCTCATCCACAGGTAGAAATTTCATCTTCACAAGAGAAATCAAGCCAGCCTTTTCTACAGAAGAATGTGCCTTAAAAAAAAAAAAAGTAAGAAAGCAAGCTGTAAAGCTGAATAGTTGTGATAAATTATGGCCTTGTAAAAGACAGTGGTTGGAAGAAAAGCAGAGATAAGGTCCTTATAATGATATTACAATAATAATCCATATTAATACAAGTCTGAAAGTTTCCTCCTTGCATGTAACTAAAAGAAATAATACACTGTAATTCCAAGGAATGCATATGCTCCATTTATTTGGGTACTTATCTCTAAAATGTAATCACAGGCATCCTCATCTTGCTTTTGGAGAGCCACTTATCAAAACTGAGATCTTAGAAGAGCCTCTAAAAATGGATCAACCTCAATTTATTCCTTTCTCCCTGCCATACGAAGATTAAAACACCCTGAAGCGCACCTACTTCTGGCACTACTCCCTCACAAGAAAAAGCCCTTTTAGTTATACCAATAAAGAACCAGCACGAGCATCTCTCCTGTTTCAGTTTTCACAGGGGAACAGACTGTTCAAGAGTCCAAGGACAGAACAGGTTTGCAGGCAGAGGCACAGTACTGTGTAGATACTTCATCCATGACCAAGCACAGAGGCCTAGAGTGGAGGCCACAACCAGGAGCAGCACTGAGGTAATGCCCCGAGTGTGCCTGTCCCTGAGTGGAAGGAGGATGTGAAGCAAAATGAGTTGAAGCAGCATGACATCAGCACCTCGTTATTGGAGTAAGGCTTGGTGAAAACCAGGAAGGAAATGAAAAACCAAGTCACATAAGACAGCACCTTGAGAACTGCCAGGACCCTACAAAACCTCATCCCACAGATTTCGTTTCCCCATCTGCAGAAAATAACATTAGAGGGATTCATTCAGGCTTGTACAGCATTCCTGTATGTGTTCTCCCCTTGGAACAGAAAAGCAAGTTCATATTGTATGACCTGGGTGAGGCAGCAGAAGCAAATTTTTCTTTGTAACCCTAAGAACCTACTTGATCAGACGCATAAGCGATGAGGCGAGAATTGAGTGAGGACTCATCAGTGTCTGGCTCAGAAACCTTCATCTCCAGAATTCTGTTTTTCCTTGCTGCTAGCAGTGCAACCAAGGTTGATTCACTCACAGTGCTCTGCAAAGACATTGCTCATTTATTGCAACATATTGCCACTTCATTGCTATTTTATCCAAGACTTACTGAAGTCACTGAACTGTTCAGCTGCCCGCACTCTCTCCTATTTCTGCTACCACTTTTCTGGGATGTGATGGCAAGTCACTAGTGATGAGCAGCTCTCTGGGCCACCACCACAGAACAAAGCCTTTAAACTACTGTACATTTTTATCATGCAGGACTGAGCTGGGGGGAGTAACTAAATCACATTTTCGTTTTGCTCTTCTACAGCTACAATGTAGTATCTTCCATAAAAATCTCAAACCTGAGCAAAGCTCCTTATAACAACACAAAGCCTCAACACTGATTCCGGGGGATACTTGCTAAGGCCTTATGAAAGGAGATAAATGTTCAGGCTTTGATCTTGCAAGTTTCAGACACAAAGCAGACATGAGAAGAAGAGTATCTTGTGTGGCTAAGGACTGCTGGCAGAAGGACCATGACAAAGATTCCTTCTCTAATCATGGAAGGATCACTTCAGTGATTAATTTGATGTGAAACAGTATGAAGGATACAAATCTGACTCTCATTTGGCCTTACTAAGGCCACAAGAGCACCTGCTCCTTGCCTGTAACACAATAAGGACTAAAAGCAAGAGCAACTCCTATCATGTTCTATATTTAATACTAAAATTTGGGAAAGCAGTGTCAAATTGGTATATTTCTCTAATCAGACCTATAGAGCAAATGTCCTTGGTTTTTCCTCCAGGAAAACTATCACCCAGAGGGAAATTCACTTGAGTGAAAATAAAACAAAACATGATGAGGCCATCTCTGATTCCTCCTACCTGTAACACTCCTCCACCCACACTGTCAGGATGGTGGTGCAGGAATTTATCCGGAAGGCCCAACATTTTAGCCAACCAATCCATCACATTCATTTCCAGTTCTGTACAGGCTGGACTGGAGGCCTAGAAAAACAGAATAAAAAGAAAATCAGGCTGTAATTCCTCCTGCAAGCATAGCAGGAGCATAGCCCTTAGCTAGTAATTAAAATGTGATATGTGTTAACACATTTTAATTGCCTTGGGAGAAATCTCCCCTAGATGCAACAAAGGCAGATGACAAGCTTTGTAGCACTGGATATATAAGCAGCTGTGTAATATTATGGCCCATAGCAGAACACAACACTATTGTGATGAAAGTTACGTTGTTTGGTGAGTTCTGTAATGCAGACCTCTATGCTAAGGTTGCAGTTGAGGGTGAGCTCCAGCTACCTTGCTCATTACCAGTTGCTCTCTTGGAATACCAGAGAATCTCAGCAACCTCCTCAAAAGGCTGTCTTCAGACTACCTGCATCACCTCAGGGCTGAGCTTCTGAATTACCAATAATCTTAGAGTCATTAAAAAAAATTAGAATCACAATGAGCCACTTGAGATAAAACCCTGGAACTGCAGTTCACCACCCAAGTACATGCCCTAGGTCCCTAAAAGAAAGGGCACTGATACGTTTTAGGGAGACTTTTTGAAGAGCAGAAAAAGAAAGGTGAAAGCTGTCCTGCAGTGTCCAGCTTTCCACATGTGAAAGAATTGGTTTACATTGCAAACTTAACAGAAACCTATCGAAACTACATGGAGAACATGACAATCAATTTTTTATAGGTTTACGAGTTTCTATTGCTTTCTTACATGGAGACACACATCTAAAAATCTGGACAATTTTACCACAGCTTTAGAATGCTACTGAGGTATGTAAAGTCATAACCAAATAGCACTATGTAGCTGCTGCAGGAGGATATAAAGTGCTCAGATATTCTGGAACATGCCACCAAACAACTATTTTCAGAACAGGAAAAATAAGAAATGTGTTCTCTCAAGGGAACAGGAGAACTGGAATGAAGCCCAACCTAACCTGCAGTCATGGATGGTGGCTGCTCCATTGCCTACAGTGCTTATGTAACAATCTCAGCACCAAGACTAGACGGCAAGAAACACTGCTTACAGTGGGATATACAAAGAATTAGAAACTAGACATTTCTAGTGATATATTTTCTTCATTCACCTCTTACTAGTAGGTGACATTTGCTCTTATTTTTTTTTAATTTTTAAAGTGACATTTTTCATTTATGCAAACAACATACAGTTGGTTGAAGTAAATAATTATACTGACTCACAGAACAAGAAAGAATGACCATGATCTGCTCCTACACAATGCACACAGGAGATGAATATTTAAAATAATAACAACAACAAAATTACCCATGTGAATCCCAAGCAGTTAATTGCATCAGCTAACATATCTCCAAGGAGCGAAGGCCAGGAAGTAAGAGCTGGAAAGTAGGCATGCATGTGTGGACTTTGCCAATGGACTACCTAGAACAAAATTATTCAAAGTAATGAAAACGTCACAAAATTCTACACAAGATGTAGTGATTAGCATCTGTTTAAAGTGATGGAAAAGGTTCACAGCAGCATGTCCAATATATGTGCAATTATACATGTGCTAGCAGAAAGCTACAGAGATAATATTGACAGGAGTGCAGCATTAGCAAATGATAACACTGTATCGTTATTAGATAAATTCCAAATTATAGCAAAAGCATTTATCTGAATTGAACAGGCAGACAAAGATTCTGAACAGGAAAGAATGGTCTTTTGAACATGGTACAACAGCTGAAATATTTATCAAAATATTTATCTTTAAGGGAAATCCTTGCAACAAAGCTGCTCTTGCTCACTTTGTCAAACAACAGCTTGCCTTTAGCTACACACGGCAATTTACAGTTGTATAGCCCACTCTATACACCTGAAGGAGCCTGTATGTGGGACACTGGCATAAGCGCGTTTAATGTGAATACCTCTCCTACATCAGACCGAGTTTCTGCAAGCATATATAAAGAAAAATTTAAAACATATTTCTTACATAAGCCATTTAATTAGGTATATGAACTCCCTTAGCAGAATCTGCACTATTTATGTACAAAAGGAAGGAGACATGAACATTCAAAGAGCAGGAGTCACGTCTTGTGTAATGACCTTGGGCAAATGATGTTTCACCTTGCTGTGCCTGAGCTTCCACATCTCTGAAATTGAGATGATGCAGTTCAGGCCTTGTGAAGCTAAATTCATTAGTGTCAGAAAATCTTTGTTTCCCTCTAAGCAAGCATGAGTTATTCTTAATATATAAAATACTTAAAAAATATATTCAGCCTATGCCCTAAAATTGTAGGTGGGAACACAACGACAATAGCCAGAATCATTCTGTGGACATATCTACAAGACATTCTACATTTTGGGTGCTTCACTTGTTTAGGTAAGTGTTGTGCAGAAGCTGTGTGTTCCCAGGATTTGGTGTTCACCCCAAGTAGTAATAAAGTATGGTCATGACAGGAATAATCTATTTCTTACCCCGGGCATAATAACCTTCTCTATGTCTCCAAAGATGTTGTCCCAGCTGTCTGGGTCCATTGGGGCAGAATCCGGCAAATGGGCTCTCATGTAACCTGGCTGCACATCAGGAGTCACCCGTCTCTCTCTCACATTGCTCAGGTACTGGCAAATGTAATCCACCATCTCTTTCCCTGGAAGAGGCAAACCAGTGTTCCGAGTTTCAGTTGTGGGAAAACTAACTAGCAGTACTAGTAGTTCATGCAATCTTAGCATTAGACATGGCTTGGAATCCTACTTCCAAGATAGCCACAGGAATTAACCTTCCTCCTACACCCTGCTTGTCCCACCTAATAACACAGAGACACAGCTTCTTGAAAAGGCTTCACGGGAACAGAACAGATTCACAGGGTTATTTCAGTGTCCTCATTGAATAGTTCAAAAGTACCTTTAAAATACTATCAGGATACAAGTATGGTTGGTTTGATTACTGATAGAAAGATTTTCTTGCCTACAAAATAACTGAAACTGCATTTCACAGAAATTAATGTTTCATAATGCCCCATACTTCCCTGTCATTGCAACATACCCAGTTTTGCATCCCCTGAAAAGAGCTACACAACTCCACGCCTTTTCTCCACTTATGCAACCTCCTCCCGCCCTAGGACCAACGTTTGCTTCCCATCTCTAGAACTGTGCAAGTATCACTGAGGTTTCATGGTGTCAGCCAGGGAAGAGCCACTGTAACACCTTATCACAAGTTTATTCAGAATCACAGCTTTGCAGTTATGCCACAGTATTTTAAATTTAAGGCCAAAAAAACCTAAGTTATCCACTGACTCTAAATCCATTAATTTAAACTCAACTCTGGGACACAATTTACTCAACTGTGGGGGCATTTTTGCCTCAGCCTCAGCAGATCTAAGTCTCAAGGACATTTGTACAAATAAAGAATATATATACCCCATACAAGTTTTGGGTACCACTCCCAGCCCTACAACAGTTGATCTCTGTGAGCAAATGATACTCATTTCCAAGAGCAGAGGATCACTCACCTCTCCGTCTGTACTCTTCAGGGTCCATACCGATTCCTTCTAAAAGCACCTCTTCAAGCCTGGGCTACGACCTTTCAGGTACTTGCGGGCAGTTGGTCTGGTGCCCTGCTCGCTGCTTCACCCTTTATAGCTCCCTTTATCTCTCAGACTCATGCATTCTGGAAAAGGTTTAACGTAGGCAGATTATTATCTAACTCCTCCCAGCTGAGGGCTTTTACAGTCTCTCGTATATTCTCATCTGTGCTCTTTTGATGTGCACGATAGTTGTATCTCTAAGAGGAGCTGCCTCTGTGCTAACCCATTCCCATTTTTAAACAATCTTTCAGAAGGCTCGCAGTAATGTATGTCATGAATATATGACACATTAACATCAGACTTGAGGGAGAGAAAAAGCTCAAGAGCTTCCAAAAGCAAGTAAGTGCCCATGTTACTTTAGGGCACCAAACTCCTGTGCTAACAGTAGTCATTAAAACAAGGCACCAGCACCTAACACATTTGACACCTATGCTGTCAAGTCTCTTGCTGCCAGAAGAAAAGGCAGTGCAATTATTGCCAGTTGCAGAACTGCAATACAAAGCAGCAGTGATCCTCTCTGTGGATTTCCTGTCCTTCCAGATCAGACCAGGTTACACTGCAAGGTGATGTTCCTCCACTCGTATCACCCTAGATTGCTGAACTGGGAAAATGCCTCTTTCTCCTCCACCACTGTGCTTCTTTTCTCATATATGTACTGGGATTTGGCCTTGTATCTCCAAAATTCCTCCAAGTCCCCCAGCTAGACTGTTCTCAGTTTGGAAGAGCAGCCATGTAGATTCTTCCTTGTTTCAGTTTCAGGACACAAAAATACTTCCTGACCTCTTTGGCAGCACTACCTTTGACACTGGTTTGACTCAATGTTGAGCACTTATCTTCAACAGAAGGACCTCACTTGCTCTACACTGATATCAGGCAGCCCTGGGAAAAGAGAGAGGTAAGACTTAAGGATTAAGCACCAGAAAGAGAAATTATTCTGTAGTACAGTACATGCTCATCCTATTTTTGTTATACCCTGTGCTCCTGCTTAGGGCTGGCCCTGTTTGAGACAGAATAGCTGCCTCTGCAGACCCTTTGCTTTGACAGGCCTTTTGTCTGATATGTGGAAGCAGTTTCTCTGTTCTCATCATATGGAAGAGAACTGGCAGTCAGAGCAGCTTTGGTTCTCTGCTTCATGTACTATAGTGTAGCCCATATGCTTTCATTATTCTAGGAAGTTTTTACATCTTTCTCCAGTGTACTTTCTACAGAACATGGCAGGGGGGTTGGAACTTGATGATCTTAAGGTCCTTTCCAACCCTAACTATTCTATGATTCTATGAACAGTGTGAAAACCTTTCCTAGATTTTGCTGTGATTAGATATCTATGACAGAACTGTTTCATAGATATGACAAAGATGCTGATACATGCTCATCAGATTAATATACTGAAATTGAAGAAGATAAAAAGCATTGAAAGAGGAAGTGCATGTAGTGCAGGAAAAAAATACTGTATGCATATTCATCTGCTTTATCTCACACTTCTCTGGAAACATTAGGGAAAAAAATAACAAACTGCCCACGCTAAGTATCAATTTATGAGCCTCTCTTGGCTTTGCTGCAAATGCTCCCTAAAAGGGTAACAAAGAAGGTGATAAGGGGCTAGCATCAAGCACAGGACTGACGCCAAAAGAGCTCAGAGTTCTCAGAAACTGTGGTTGTACCTCATTACAAGTAACTAATGCATTACTTCAATATGTGGACGTCTGCTCAAGGAAAGCTGGTAGCTAATTACATTTATGACTTCAATTTGGAACAGCAAATAAGGAACAATACTTTTAACGTTTCCAGAGCTAAACTACACAGTAAATACTCCATGTGACATATACCCTATGCTTCTGCTCAAAGGTGATAGTTTCATCAGGCTGGTTTCTCGTTCTGGGTAGAAGAGAACAAACAGCAGGTCCTGTTCGGAACTAGAATAAAATAAGTGATAATGAATTACAGGTACGGTAAATATTGCTGGTGATAAGTTTCTGTTATAGCTACCCTGCACTTGCAAGGATTTTGTTTCAGACAATGAGGAATAGAATATTTGCTCACAGGAAGCAGGATTAATAGACAAGGTTCTTTTCATTGTTTGCTCCAAAGGTCTGTGCCATCGAAACCGTGGGAAAGCTCCATTTGGAGGTGAACATTACCACTATCACTGCCCAGACCAACGCTGAATTCTTATCGTTGTGAAGAGTTCACAGAGATTAAACTGCAGTTAAGTCTGTGGGATGTGAGGACACAAACATTATTTTGATCATAGAATAATTCAATCGGAGAAATGCCTAACCAGCATTTATCTTGACTAACTGGTGCCTGCACTCGCTAGTGACATAATGGAGTTTCTAAAAAAAAACGTAGCTATTTCCAGTTAGTCACTGCATAACGCTTGCTTCAAGTACCAACTGAGCAGGATTATATACTTGAAAAATAATAAGTCTAAAAACCACCACCACAGCTTTTCCCCTTTTTTATATATTTTGATTCTTTGCCAATAATTTCATCCTAATTTCCCAAATGGGATCAAACTTGCCAAATTTTTACCAATACTAGAATATTTAGGATTTTTTCCTAACTGCCAATTCTATAAACCCAAATCAAAGTTTGAAGAAGGAAGGTTTTACTTCAGTACTGTGTTATGCAATTCTTTCCCCACACCTCCCTCCTAACTCTGAAGTCCATTCTAATCCTAAAACCAGTTTTTCTTATTTTTCTGAAAGCTGACACAACACAGGTTTGACCTTGATGTACATACAAAAAAATTGAAATGGAACTGATTCTACAATAGATGTATGTGGAAAAGATATTTAATTGTAAAATAGAAAAAGTAGGCCAGAGTACAGTTTTAAGGGTAATTTTTCTGTGTACAGTATAGGTAAACTAGACTTTTTGCTTAAGTTTATATAAACAATTCCATAAAAGCAGTGAAACATGGAACAACAAAGCAAAGCACGAAGAGTTTTATCTTACAAAAAAAGGAATCTGCACAGTAGTTCAAAATTTAATGTACAACAGCACTGAACAATCTTAAGGCAGCTCAGTCTAAGCACAGGACTAGAAGCCAGGAACTCCTGAGATCTATTCCCAGGTTTGCCACAGATCCATGTGGTCTTGGGCCAGTCATTTAACACTCCCTGTGTTGCACTTGTATCGGTTATAAAACTGAGACAGTAACACTCACTTACCTGCCTCAGGCAGTACAGTAAGGGCTCTTTAAAAGATTTTACAACGCTCTGAAGATGTAATGTGCTATATAAATCCTAACCATAATAGATCACTGCACAGACACACAGAAACACAGTATCACAGTGAAGAACAATGATGCTGGGTAAGAGGAGCATCACAACATAAAAAAATTACTTGTCCAATTGCATAATTAAAATGCAAAAGTCCGTTTAGAAAAAAAGGTATCACTGAAATGATTTCAAGGCTATTGGGAAAAAGAGATCAATAGGAATATCCTAAAAGAACTACTATTTGTGTTCCAGTGGAGACATTCTTTCCTATGCATTACTGAACTTTTAAATGCTTGTGCATGAAAATTGTAAGACACAAAGTGAAGTTTCGCTGCCTCCACTACCAAATTTTAAATCACACCTCGTATGTAAGTGAAGATTTTTTTTTGTTTTTAATTACAAATTACATTCTTCCAACAAATATACCATCCACAATTAAACTGGCTGCTTACTTCCAATGACATATAAGCTAAACATTTTCCTCGTAATTTTCCTTATAATTTTCCTCATCTTTGCTGAAAAATACCTATGCAAGATGTGTAGAAATTATAAAAACATGCAGCATATGTACAAACTGAAAAGTTTAAAAAATATTAGCTTCATATACATGTAAATCTACTTGGATATATCTGAAATTAAATATAAAAATTTCACCACCTAAAATAAAAAAAAACAAAACCAAAAATGGTTTTCAGAGAATCTGAGACAACTACTTAAAGCTGTACAAAGATTTCCACTTGGAAATGTCTTACTCAGAGAAGTTTAAGTTGTTACCATGTAGAAATAACTGTTAAATCATTTTGTCACATAATTTTCAAGTTGTCAGCTTAAATCAACAATATCACCCTTAAAACTGTTCTGTTTTTCAGAAGTTAGATTCATACTAAAATCAAAAATTTCACAAAAACATTGGCTTCTCGTGTTTCTGGATCCCTTCAAAAAGATTTATCAACTCATTTTGAAACTGTAAAAAAACCAACTATTTACAGTATTTCATTTTAAATACTTTTCACAATTTCTAAATTCAGAGTTTTTATGTTACAAGAAATTAATGAGAGCTCACGGCTTAAGTCCAGTTATCAACTTGTAGCATCTTCTCTATCATGTAATCCTGCATCTGTACCTATATAGTGTACAGTTCAAGATTGTACTGCAGGTTTTGGAAAGTAACAGGCTTTGCAGTATGTTCACTTTTATTAAACAGCTTCTTTATTAGTCTGGAGGCGGGTCATTGCCTCTAACTTCTGCCGATAGGCCTCTGCTTCTTGTTCTTTCTTTAGGAGCTGCTGACGATATTTTTGTGCTTCTCTGTTTGCCTCATCCAGCTGTTTCTGAAGAGTTTCTCTTTCCTATTAAAAACATAACCAGCAATATTTTGTCAAATATGTATCGAATACACATTAAAATGGCAAATTCTTTGCCTTTACATGCAGCTCAAGTGTTAGGATATCATGTAGAAACTGTTCAGTTCTTACTTGGGCAAACCGAGCACTGCTGTGTAAATTAGACAGGAACTATCACACCAGACACCTCCCCACAATAAGGCTTTAGGTGGAACCGTAGTAAACCCAAGTTTCTTTAGATGCAATGATACCAAGCAAGTCTTCATAGGAAAAGAGCGAAGTAAAAAGAGGAAGCGCAGTGATCAAATGCAAAATCATATATTAGCATTTCTCCAGTACTCAATTCCCTTTGTTACTCTTGTAAATTGGAATCCAATCAAACAGGATTGTCCTAGTCTGTTGTACTTTCAGTCAGACAGTAGAACGAAAAACTGACACATAACAGCAACTTGCGCTGTAAAGTGACAGCTGCCCACTAACCAAAATACACACATAACTAGGTTTCCTAAACAAAGTGATCTGACGTGATTAATGCTATGCAATCCTGATGTATAATTACATCCTCAAGGATACCCCATCTTTATGAGTTAACAGACACTTAGCTAGACGAGCTTTTTCAATTCAAAAGGAGGAACTTAAGGCTCCATCCTGCATACAGGTTTGTTGGGGATTGCTATAAAATGGTTTCCAAGCAAAATAATACGGGAAATGCCATTTCCTATGAAGCTGCCTTAGGAACTAAGGAGAATGTACTTCTATCTGCAGTGACGTAGGTTCTGTCATTTTGTTTGATGCTGCACTGAGCCCAATTGCAAAAGCAATTTGCTTAGAAAATAGTTTTGGTTTGATCTTCAACCAAATACCATTTCATTAAAGTGCATCATACTTTTATGAATAAGGTAGTATCTGATTTCAAATCATTCTTTCCACTGTAGTTGTTAAGTATGCACAGGAGGGAACTTGTTAGAGAAGCAAGCTATTTCCCAGAAAAACAAAACTCTTATCAGAAATTGAGGCCCAGTCAAAGTAAGGTGCCTTTTTACCTTATTTCCAGCAGTTCGGTACCACATTCCCATTTAACACGTCAAACAGTTGTTAAAATCTTCTCTCCCCCCTCCCACGTAACAGAATCCCTATTCTTCACATCTTTGCTGCACTCGCATATTCTCATGATCAGAGCCTGAAAATACAAAATACTCTGCCTCCCTTCTACTTGCTACTGTTCTCAGTACTTGTCACAGTCACATTTAGCAGTCACATGCTGTGCTGAATGTGCTGGAATACAATGACATAGGTGGTCAGATCATTGCTAACAGCAGCATCTGAATAGCAAAAACAACATGTGAAGGAGAGATGTTATTAACACGTCATAAAGACTAGCTATAATATAGAACACATTAAGTGCAACTTGATTTTACACAGGGCTTTAAGAACTAGAGGAAGCTAGGAGGGGTTTGTTTCATCCGGAGCATATGCTAATAAAATGAGAGCTCCTCTAATCTTACTTATATGAAAAGGAAGTTCCACATCTGAAAATTTGGAGTGTGTGCAGACTGCAAACAGTTGGGAGTGAAGGGGTTCGTAGACCATACCTAAAAGTATTTCCCACAGAAGAGAAAAATAGAGGAGGGGGAGACACCATACCTAAAAAACCAAGTCTCAGTGGCAGAGACAAGAAGGTAAACCAAGTATCTACCAAACATACTAGCAATTCAAAGCATGTACATTAGTCCTACTACCAATAGGTGTAGTTTTTAGACAGTCATTGCTCCAACATCAACAGAACAAGTTAAGGAACTGATGCCAAGCATACTGTCTACCTAGGCAGTGAAAAGAAACCGGTGCTTCTGGAAGAGCAGTGCAGATCTACGGCAGACTGAACAGGGAAAATTGGTTCCTTTGACATCTAGAATAGGGAGGACTGTATCTGATCTGTTAATATAATCAAATCCGGAAGTGTTCTAATTATCTGAAGTTCTTTTGTATCAGTATAAAAACCTACTTGGGTAAAAAACAAATTAGAGGACCTGAGTGCTCTTAAGAAATCTTCCAATTTATCATTACATGTAACTTTTCGTAACAGTCTATGTATTGACAACAAGGACATCTGTAACTAACATAACCAAACCAAGCATTCTTTTTAACAACAGAACAAACAGGGATATGAATTCACTAATGTAATTAGTCTACAATAATGCTTTTTTTTTTTTTAGTCTAATGAAATGATTGGTTCTAATGTGTGACCTTTCAAGCATGCAACACAGAATGCAACACAGCAGGCAACAAAAGTCAAATACAAGAATGAAAATAAAAATCAATGCATGTTAATGAATTATGCATGAAAATGAAAAACAGTATCTGTGCCACAGGGTTTTTTTTTTTGCTGCCACCCTGTATTTAAAATATCAAACTGTTCAGGAAAATTGCTACCACCCTTCAAAAATAAACTGGAATGTTTGAACTTAACAGACGCAGAAGAGAAAAACAGAAGACCACAAGGACACCCTTAGTCATTCACAATACTTTCACAGGGAAGTTTGTCACCTGACATGAATGGGATGATGTTCAACTTGACTACAGTTAACTGTTCACACGCCATGAATTTAAAGTAGCTGAAGAAAGTGCTCTTAGCCTTGAATCAACTCTTCATAATGAAATAAAGGAATAAATCATGGGAAACCAAACAATAAAGGTTTTCTGCATTAAAAAATATTTTAATGAGCAGAGGGGTCCTACTCCCACCAAATTCAACTATCTAACACCTTCTATGATGATGAAGTTTGAAGTGAACTGACTTTATGTGCACTTCTTTAATGCCTCTGTTACCAAACTGAGGGAGCACCATACCCCTGTGAATCACAATTTGCCTCCAAACAGAGGCAGAGGTCTGCATCTGCATTTCCAGTTGTACAGAATCACAGAATGCTTAGGGTTGGAAAGGACCTTAAGATCATCTGGTTTCAACCCTCCTGCCATGGGCAGGGACACTGCACACTAAATCATGTTACCCAAGACTCCATCCAACCTGACCTTTAACATCCAACCTGTCAGGGATGGAGCATAGGCAGGGACAAAGTATATCATCAAAACTTGCACTTAAAAGTAACAAAGAAAGTAACTAATTTAAACCAACTTCTTTCATTATTTGAGAGATGTGTTTAAAACATACAACTAAAACTGGTAATCCCCTTAAAAGAATTATTTGTACTGTTACACCAACTATGTGCAATTAGGAACAGGTCAATTTATTCCTTAAACAATCTACATTTTTTTCTTTCACCTAACAGAATTATTAAAATACTTAAGGAAATGTAATTTCCTTTACGAATAATTCAGGCAAATGTTTAAGAAACACTTTTATTGTAACAGTCATACATTTTTAAAAAAGCAGCAAGAAAATTTCAACTGTCATGATAATCTGTAATGACCACAAAGCTGCAAACCCTAGAAGTATGTGACAACTTAGGGACAGGGAAAGCAAGTGATGAAAGGTGGTAATTATTGTTATTAGACATGGATAATATAGCACACACTGTACAATAAAAAAAAATATTCAATTCGGCACAATTCAGTAATATGAACAGAAGCTGGAGAATACAATCTTTGATAAATGAAGTACCATGGAGTTGACAAAATGAGAACTTACAGCCTAGACAAGGCAAACAGCCATTTTCATAAACTTTTGATCAAAGCTGGTCAGCACAGTAACAAGTAACAGAAGGAATGAGATGGTTGACCTATTGTGGCTAATATAAAAAGGCTACAATTTAAAATCAAACATTTCTCATATATAAAAAGAGCTCTCAGTGGTGTTAGGTGTCTCACACTATAATTAAAAACAAACAAACAAAACCACAACAGGATGGGGCAAAGATGTGTAAACAGCTCCAGACAAAAAAAAAAAAGGGGGGGGGGGGGGGTAGGAGGGAGGAGCAGATACAAACTGACAAATGCAGAATCTTACTGTTTCACATTTCCATTAACAGTTATTTAGATATCATGAATGGAAAGGAAACCTTGTAAAAAATAAGATCTCACAACCAGGACAAGCACGTGGTCATAACAGAAAGATGTGGGTACAGTACTCTCATTCACTAATAGGAAATGTCAAGTTATTCAATATATTGGTACCTTGTTTGAAAAAGTAGCTGGGGATCTTAAAGGAAAAACAAAAAATTAAGTTATCATATATTTAAAGAAGTGCCTCTTTTATGTGCACAACCAGAGGATGAAGCAAACAGCCCTCCTACATTCTTTTAACAACAACTTTGTAAAAGATGAATTCCAGTAACAGGGAAGACAGAACAAGTTATTGTTTCAGACACTTCAGTCTCTGGTAACACAAAATTAAACTATAGAACAATAGAAAACCCCACAACCAGATATTCAGTGCTGAATACTCTGGTTAACACATATCACGCAATATACTCCTTACTTCTATTTCTGTAGACTCCACACGATTTTCAACAATCTCAATGCACTGTCTCTTCACTGGCGGTTCTTCGCTTATCACAGTTTCTTCAGCAATGTCGGTTGCTGGAACTGTTAATACTGAAAACATTTGTACATATAAATACATTTGCTTCAAACAGTATTTGCACTATATAAAATTTTATTAACAGCAATAAAATGCAGAGACTTTCCCCTATGAACACACAACTATATAATAAAGTGCACTGTGAAGTCTATATGTGGAGAATTTACTAAAAACTTTAGCTGCTTGTATGCTACTGAGGTCCACAATAGTTAGTTGTCACTCTGGAGTATTATTGCCATTTTTTGCAGGGCAAACAAACATGGAAGTGAATTGCAGCAGTTACCAGCCTGCCAATTCTCTAACGTCTAAAACCGACAATCTTTATGATGTTACTTAAGCAAATACTAAATACAAAACTGGCTTTTGATTTTGATTGATTAGAACACCATAGGTAGTCTGAAAATCCAGTAGTTATTAACCTTAAAGGAAAATGGATCTAAAGAAATTCATACTCTTAATATAGACATGCAACCATCTGGCAAATAAATGTAACTGTCACTTCAGTTAACTACCTACACACATTCATGCTTTCTGGTAACTAGCTGTACTTGTTCAGACAAGACAGTGAACCAAATAACTTGTCCCCTGGGTACAGCTCTTCAAACTCCACACTGGAAGGCCTCATGAAGAAACTGAAGAAGGAATAACTTTTGTCTAGACAGTAGTGGCAGAACATCTTTAAAAGAAACCACCCAAAACATACATGTCACAAAACACACTTATGACCCTAGCAGCTTCCACAAACATATGGCCCAATAGGACCATTTGTGTCACTCTGGTTCCACTGGTTCTGCCACTGCTCCGCTAAAACCTCAAGCATGTCAGACTTGGCTTTTGTTAAGAACACACTCCATAGGACTTGCACAGTTTGCTTGAAGCACCAGATTTCTACATCCAAGCCTCACCTCCCTGTCCTTCTGGCAAAGCAACTACGTGAGTACTGGAAGAAGACTATTGTTTGACTCCATCTTCTAGCCTTCAAAACAAGTCTGCAAGAATCAAGCTTACTCAAAGCAAAGTAAGTAGTTATCACTCTTCCCTTCAACGTACCGTTTCCCTTCCACACAGTTAATAATTCTTCTATTCTTCCTCCTAATGCACTCTGCTGACATGTAACTCACTGAACTGCAGTAGCTCGTCTGAGCATTTTGCAATATAAGAACTCAATGTTTTTAAATTTAGACTTACATAAAATTGTCCAAACTATTTGCACCTAACAATTCATTATAATTACTATAATTAAAACAGTTGCTCAAGCTGAAATTGTACGTGTTTCCACCCACCTTGCTGTCCATCTGGCATGGTCACAATGATTGGTTGCCCTATTCCACTGGTTGGAATTGAATGCAGATTACCAAGTTGAATGCCATCTGTCACTATAGTAATAACTTGCTGACCTCCAGAACTGACAACTTGCTGAATAGCACCATCCACAGACTCTGCAGTCACAACTTCTTCTGTGGCCACAACTATCAACAGATTAGTAAAGGAATTAAGTCAATTTAATTAAACTACATGATTTCAAATGCATTTAAATACAGCAGAAAAAAAAGGTGTAATAACGCACCGAGTGGCAGAAAATTTTAGAAGACATTATATGGTTAATATAAATAAATAAACAAATAAAATAAAATAAAATCTTTCACCAGGCAACATAAGGCACTAACATTTTGAAATATACATGGAACTCTGTCCTGGCTTACCTTGCTCAATATAGTAGCTCTTTTATTTAGTATGTTTCCTGATAGATACACCCCACTCAAAACTGATGCTTGGGGTTCAGTGTTAACACTGCAGCAAGAACAAGAGCTGCTTTTAAGAACACAATTAACTTCTGCATTGTACACAAGCTGGACTAATTTACACTAACAGCAGAATAAACCAAACAAACTTTAAATACTAGCTTGAAACTACTCCTCAACCAGTGACTTGCCAGGTGTACCTCAGGACCCAGCCTTGACTTCTCTGCTTACCGTAATGGTCTTCAAGACTACAACAGACTGAAGGACCTTTAGAGAATCCTAAAGTTTTGTCTGTACTACCTGGGTAGTTCAATCACAAACACAACCTTATTTGTTATACAAAATATGAAACAGGACTAAAGGAAAAGTTCTGCAGAGTTGACATTTTTACACCTTTGAAGGATAAACGTAGAGCTTAAGTAGAAAAATAAACATTGTATGTATGTATTTTTACATGTAAAAGTAAAAAATAAAAAAATCCCAGCTCAAGCAAGCATTTCTAATTCATTATTTGATATTGACTGTCAAAAATAGCAGTGAAGTTTTACATTACATCTATACATCATGGTAAGGTAAGGGTAAGACTGCATTCAGAACTACAACACACACCACACTCACACTAGACACTAACTGAGGTCTCGCACTACCACTTTATTTTTTTAAAGCAATGAGATACCAAGACAAAAGAGCGAGATCACTAGCAGCACAATCAAAGAATCTCAAGCACACTAACTCTGTATTTTATTTTCAATTTGTCAGGGTACAAGCAAAGCCTTTGATTTAAATGATAGACATTAGAGTGCTTTCTATCTACAGAGATTAAATGAAAATCCTATAGACTGTGTTGTGATGCTCAAGATGAGAGAAGGTACATAAAACCTTGAAGCTTTCATCTTTTAAGTTAATTACAACATAATACACACACAAAAAAATCACTCTGTAGTTCAAATAATGACTGCAGTCATTGTCTTCTGAAGCTCTTTATGTTCAGAGATTACTGTCCTATAGCCTAAATATTCACAGAGTGTTTACTCAGTAAACCAAAACAGTAAGTCCTACATAAATAAGTGGTGTTGTATTGAACTTGATCTGACTTCCACATACAGGCTCAGCAGTAAGAAAGGCCATTGCCTTTCCAAGCTGCAAGTGCTAATACTAGCTGCTGTGGCAAACAGCCCTGATCTTCCAGTTTCAAACTCAGCACTGGCCTTTTAGTTGTGGAAGGAAACATTATCAGGACTTCCTGAGACCTTAGCAGAAAAATGAACATTCTGTCTAAAAAGAAGTTATTCTATGTAAAGGAAAAACGCCCTTAAATAGAGTCCTTATACCTTCCTTGTTCTCCTTCATATCCATATAATCATTAGTTACCATGCTGCTTCATATGTCAAAGGAAAGCTGAAGTCACTTAGGAATGCAGCACAATTATTTTCAAGAATCTCTAAATTAATACGCATTATTTTCTGCTGCAGTGTGTGCATGGGGAGAACACCTTCACAAGCAGCAAGGCATATGCCTAATTCCATGTGTAAGCACACCAGTTACTGCTTTCCAAATACACATCTTAAATCAGGTTTTTTTCTAATCCAAGTCCGAGTTCCATACATACATCATGCAACACATTTGTGCATAACATCCGTGCCTCATATATACTTGAGTAACAATGGAAAAAAAAAACCACCACCATCAGTCTATTCAGCTCCAGTGAGAAGCACCTGCCTTTCTTTGGTTTTACGAAATTGATGCGTTTTTAACTGTAAGACATGAGGAACTAGGGAAGAGATCAGGGAAAAGTTAACTGTGAAAGAGGAGGAAAACCTACAGAAAAACAGCATAAAAGGCAGAACCTAAGTGCTTTGTCCAAGTTTATACAGTCTTAAGTAAAGAAGGCTAAATGCAAGGTAAGAGCCAAAACCAGAATTCTCAGTGCTACAATTTTTGAGAGTATTTATACATGAATCTTTTACAAGATGACCACAAGAGAAGGGAGGTGTATGGTGTTGTTTTTCTTTTATTTTTAACTTGAAGACATTTACTACTGATGTCACTATATGCTGGTTTTATATTCTTTACGCTTTATGAACTATAAAAGGAGTAAGAACCAAGAAAATAATTTACACAGTAAGATGCTGCAAGATTACCCACATCTGCATAAAAATCAAAGCAGAACCTCCAAAATAAACAGGATGGTTAGGTATGATGGACATGTGTTATTGAAGGTGTGAAGTTACTGCATCAAGACTTCAAGCTTATTCCTTCTGTCCATTGCCTCCTGCCTCCTCTCTAATAGTTTTTATCTTCAGTGGTTTACTGTAACATTACACTCAGTTCACTACCAAAGCCTACTACTGAGTCCTGGATACACATTTAATGCTCTATAATCCCATGCAATCCTTTCTTGAGTTTCTCTCCTACAGATCCAAGGTTCACCGAAATATATCAATTGAAAACATCAACAGCTTCTTCTATAATAAAAGACACTGCACTCTGGTTTTGAATCATCCACTTCACTTGCAATATTTAAATGTCATAAAATAGTACAGCTGTACTTTGAGAACAGTACTGCTTTGAGAAGCAGCAGAAGAGTTGTATTTAGAAGAAATCCTGCAGGACTTCAAAATACTCTGAGATGAAAACTCAGGTTTATGTTAGGATGTAGCTGTCAGGCCAGAAATCTGAGTACAGATATATATTTTTTTCAGACAAAGCAGTAACTGGCAAAGATCCACGGGGCAGAGATGAAGTGAGAAACTCATCAGAAAGAAGAATGCAAAACTTAGCAACTAGGGACAATGGAATTCCTTGTTCCTTTCTGGCTTCCTGTCATGGCCTGATGGAATGAAGTAGTGTGCATACATCTGCAACGAAGGATGCAGGCTGCTTCTTCCTAGGAGAACAATAATGCTAGGCTTATGTTTAACTGAAGCATACCAGCCTGAAGTGGGACATACTCATCACTGCATATTACTATAAATGCAAGTAGAATGCCTTAATGTTGAAAAGATGACCCATAGATACTCTAATGGGCCAATTGCACATTAAGATCACCAAATATTCTTGTGCCTTTTGGGTGAAAGATTAAGAAAACTGATGACAAAGTATTCACAAACAGTGTTAGGGGACATTTCCCAGTAACTAACAGAAAGCACTCAAAGATCCCATTCTCCAACCAAATGCAACTAAACTGTATGTAGACAAAGACTTAAATTCAATCTCCTGAATTACTTGCTTTCAGCAAGATGAATGCTACTAGAAATATTAGTTGTGGTCAGAAATCTTATTGAGAAGTAATTGTACGTATGAATTTGGCCACCTTCCAGGTGAAAATAAAATTTTGTTCGTGCTGAAAAAAGGAAGGCTGTAAACTCATTTCTGTATGAAACCTATCACTGAAAGTGCCAGTTCTATACTTTTAATTTATTAAATGATGTTAAATGACTTAAGCTTTCTAACCTGGTGTTTCTGAAGAATTAGACAGTGGAGCTGATGCTTCTGCTAAAGCTGCCAACGTGGCTAATACTGACGTTGATGAATTTCCAAACTGTACAGCAGACACTCCTGTTTCATCTGGTGCAATGGAAAAAAAAAAAAAGTTAGCTGACAAATTTAAAACCAGTGCTAACACACAGCTCTCAGCAACATTCTGCTATTCTGCAGCAAGTTTCTTGAGCAAATACAGCTTCTGATAATTTATCTCTGTGAAGATTGTTGTTTTAAGCAGCTATTTACAGCACATAAACACCGAAGAGGCACATGGTAATTATTCTTACCACCACTTTTCCTCAGGCCTTATCACTAAATGGTGAAAACTGATTAAAGTATAAAATCCCAGTAGCTATCCTATAGACATCTAAATACCTGTTCCCTCTGATGTATTTGCAGAAGATACCAGACCTGTTAGGTTCACCACCCCTCCAGGTCCAATGATGAACTGCGGTGTTGCTGCATGTATCGTCACAGTGTCCGGACTCTCTGGATTTGTATTGATTTGGTTCTGCATTGCAATCTAGGAAACAAACATAGTAATATCATTCCAATGGTAGGTACAAAGAAGTTAGTCACCTTGTAAGAACTAGAATTATTGCACATTCCACTCAAAGAGTGATGATCTCCCTCGTTATATTCATGCAATGTATGCACATCATGTCACATCCTGTGCTTGTGGAAGAACATGAGAAACTTTTTTTCCTGGATGAAATTTAAATACAAAAAGTCTGATGAAGTGGAAGAGAACAGTGACACGTTGCCTCTCCTCCTTACCATTTATTTATTTATTGTGAACAAAGCGGATCATAAAGTCAAGGCCCTTTCGTAAATATGCAAAAGCTCATATGTATAAAATAGAGGCCTGAAGAACTGAAGCCACTGGGGCAGCTACATGCCATGAAAAATCAGCTCTGAAAGCTAAGTAATTGCTATGGATTGTAGATTGCAATCATCTTTTTGGTGTCTTGTTGTGTTTTTGACTTATTAATGACTTTAATTTACTATATCCTTTCTGACATGAAAAGAAGGCTAAAGGAACGAGTAGAAGTTCTTACAGCTTAAGATATAGGGGAACACAAATTTATACAGTGGCGTAATGGTATTTTTCATTTGCTTTCTATTATCAGTAATATTTAGCTCTTCATTTGCCTTTAATGTGGAGCACACATCCCCATGGAAGTATCTGTTATCATACCAATCCAAATCTCTTCAACAATTCAATCCTTTCTAATTCAGGAAAAACTGCCATCTCTTCTCTCCTCTCCTGATCTCCAATTGCTAGGAAATCAATACCCCTATACAAAGCTAACTGAACACTAGGGTACAGTCAGAACTTATCGGCATAGCAGGGAGTTAAGTTTTACAATTCGCTTGTGAGGACATTACCTAGTTCCGCGTACTACAACACTTGAATTTACGAAAATGAAGGATACTTAACCCTGACTTGTAGGTGGTGAAAATGTTCTTTGGTCACTAATGTTTGCTAACATTAATCTCACTTCCGTGTCACAAACTAGACTGAGTTTAGCATTGCCAATCAATATAGGGTTTCACAGCTGCTGTATTAAAAGCTTAGTTTTTTACATCTGTAAACAAGTACTTTAAGTTCCCTCACCATCATGAATCAAAAGTTACCTGTAATATTTCTGCAAGGTCTTCATTTCCATTGTCTACCGCAATATCTAACGCCGTTTTGCAAAATTTACTCTGAGCATGAACATCTGCTCCGTACTTTATTAAGAGTTCTACAACTTCTTGGTGGTTATGTTCAGTAGCCCAGTGAAGTGCAGTCATTTTGAGCATGTCCTTCGCATTGACATCAGCACCATGCTACAAACAAGATCATTGCATAAACTGTCATTAGAAGTATCTGAATTAAATAATGCTGGTGACATAATGAAGCCCAAAACTGCCTTTTTCTGTCAGTAATGTTCTGTTTGTTACCTTACATTTACAGATTTCTTAAAAGAACTTCAGACTAATCACCAAATAAATTATTTACCTGAAAGGATTAAAGACTTCCTAAAACACAACGTCTTGGTTCTAAAAGTGGTTATTCACACTACACCAAATTAGGAGTTAAGATTTAACTTTGACATAGCAATAAATAATCCACCTGAAATCATTATTTTAATGCTAAAATAAATTACAGTTTAACAGGAAAACAAAGCTCTAATGCACACCGTATAAATATTCATATCATTTCAATGTTGTTTTCATGATTAAAAGGAAATTGTGAATATTTGATCATAAGCCATTGTAATATCCATGCGTCAGACCATGTTTCAGCATTTTTTACCTTAAGTAAGACTTCTACTATGCTGGCATGGCCTTCTGATGCTGCCATATGTAATGGAGTTCTGTCCACTTTGGTTCTGGCATCCCGACTTACACCTGCTCGCAGCAACACTTCTGTTGTTGAGTAGTGTCCATACTGTGCTGCTAAATGAAGTGGAGATGTTCCCAACTGTAACGTAATAGAAAAAACGGAGCTTTAAAAGATGTCAGTATGAAGGATTTCTTCCTGTTCTGAAGCTATCAAACTTGGGTGTTAGGGCACCACTTCAAAACCATTTTCTCTTGCATTCTCAGAGAAAAAAAAAGCTGTCATGGATTTTACAGAGTATGAAAAAAAAAGCTTAAGTATCTGTGGGCTTCCCCTCTCCCTTCCCCCGCCAGTAATCACAACACAAAAAACCTGCTCATTGGAAGCAACTTTTCAAGGCCTGTGCTGTTTTTCTGTCTTTCTGAGGTGTGGTATTTCAAGGGGCTTAACCCCATTTTCAGTGTTAGCCAACAGGCCATAGCAACATTGGAAGGGACCTCTGGAAGACAAGTCCAATCTCCAGCATAGAACTGGAGTCAACTTGAAAGTTGGGCTGCTTAAGGCTCCTAAGGGCTTGCAAACACCCTAGAATTTTAGGTACCTGACCTCCCTATATATCCTATTCAAAAAAAAAGGCACCTCCAAAAGATAACTCAAAGCCCCTATATCAGGGAATTCTCAGATGCACATATTTAGGTAGTTGGGACAGCTTTCTTAATTCAGACCTCTTACTATACTAAATGCATAAACATAATAACTAGGAGGATGACTGCTGTTGTCTCTCATTAACATTCCAAAAGTTCATCTTAAAAGACACCAGAATGAGCTCATTCACAGTCTGTTACCAAGATCAGTAGGAGGTCATATGAAGAAACAGACAACTTTAATTTTGGAGACATTACATGAGGTAGCTGTGTAATTCCAAGAAGAAAGTCCAAAGGCTTGCAATGTAAATCCTTAATTGTAATAATCCTGTTTTCTTTTGCAGGTGAGGAAAAGTGAGATTTACCAAACACTGAAAAAGTTTTCATTACCCAATCTGTGGTAAAAGGCGCTCCATTTGCCATCAAAATGCGAACTTCATCATCTTGACCTGCTCGCGCAGCTTCTAAAAGTTTCTTTCCCAAATCTACTAGTGACATCTAGTGAAGGACATAAAGGAATATATAGAAAAAATAAAAAAATTAATACCATTTTAAGTACACAAATGCCACTGCTATTTTTTTAATTCTTTCTGAACTACTCTGAGAAGTTCAAAACCTGGGGTTGGTATTACAGCAATGAGAACAAGCTTTACTGACTGCAATAAGCAGCTTGATTTTAGAATTACTTTTGTCAGACAGACACTGGGGTGAAGATGTCCATATCACAATGATATAACCACAGCAGCTGCAATGCTGTGTAAAACTAAATTATCTGAATCAGACACATACAGTTCATAGCAGAAAGTGGTTTAGAGGTTCTCACCTGATACTGCAACCTTCTGCAGCTCTGCCCAGCTTTCAAATCGTATTACAGCACGGCTGCTATGCCACATGCCCAAAGGCACTACAATCACTTATCTAAAATGCCTACACATTTAAGAGCTACCACTACGTAAATGCATTTATATAGTTATGAAACACAACACTTTTCTGACATCTCGCTCATCACTATCACTTCATTTTGTTCACACTAAACCACAGTTTCTGTATCCTTAGCTACAAAAATGATGCTAAAATGTCTGCCTGAGAACAAACATTACTACCCGCTTCAACTCTCTACAGTTACAAAAAACTGTAAGTGCAAAATTTTGACACGACTGAAATGAGCTGAAAAATTCTCACATATTCTTTAGATAATCTTCTCATGCTACCAAATAAAATACATAATGAACACTTCAGTCCTATAGCTAGGTTTTCCACTACCAAGATGCTAAAAATGGAATTACTTTCATCAGTTTAGTTTCCAGTCACAAGTGAAGTTAAGCCTGTATTACTAATAATAGCAGTTGCAAGGCCTTGCAGCTACATGCGACTACAATTTCCTACACAAAGTTGCAGTATATCAGTTCAGAAAGAAATCCCGTTAAACACACACGTCTATCACAAAATCAAGTCCTTTGCACCTGGCTCAACTGGCAAAGCCTGTGCGGTATATTGCTCCATAAGCTGAAAGCTATTGACTTTATAAGAAATTAGAAAGGAAGAGATAAATACTGCAAATGCAGAACTCCAACACACATCAGTAGAGCCAGGAACACGAGCAGACCACTTCTCTGTCTACAGAACTGACTTCAGGCAGCAATATCCCCTCACCAAAATAATACTCCATTTATGTTCATCCTTTTACTACAAACAGGCATGTTGATTTGTCTTCAGCAAGAAAAGGGAAGAGGAGCAGGAAGGTGGCAGGCCAGGACAAATACTGACAATGGGAAAAGGAAGGAAAAAGGGAGCACAGATTCAGATGCAGAGGAAGGAACAGCTGACTCTTCCATAAAGAGCAAAAGAGAAACAGGAAAACAAGAAAAACTACTATCCCTACTATCCTAGGGAGACACTAGGAGTAATGATATAAAACAACGATAGGACAGAGAGAGCATTCGGCAAGTGCAGCAACAAAAGAAGGAATATAACCCTTTGTATGGTTGGCTTTTTTTCTTGGTGGGGAGACAGGGGGTGCAATTTAAGAAGTGAAAGAGCACACAACACACACACACTTCTGGTTGCCTAACACCACCACATCAAGGTCTTCAGAAGCAAAAGGAAAGTTGGAAATTAATGCAAAAAAGTTAGGAGTTAACTCAGAAAGACAATTTATTTTCCTTGTGTTTCATTTTGTTTTAAACAGCAGTAGAGAAAAGGAATAAAGCCTCCTTTTGGAATTACAGAACTCCTGAGACTGGAAGAGGCCTCTTAAGGTCACCTAATTCAATCTTCCAGCCAAAGCTGGCCTAGCAGATTCATACTGCATTGGGCTCAGTCCTGTTGAGTTTTGGATGCCCCTGTGGATGTACATCCCACTGCTTCTTTGGCCTCATCCCAGTGTCCGACCACACTCATGGTAAGAGCTGTCCTCTGCGTATCTTTCTCCACTAACCAACAAAACAGCCTTGACCACAAGCTTCTACATGATGTCTGACAGACAACAAATAGGTGAATTAAATTACAGTCCATATATTTAATGACTATGCCTATTCAGAACCCACTGACCACATCTCTACTGGAGAAATAAACTGCAAAATTGTTACCAAACCTCTATGCAGCCAAATTAATGCAAATGCAAGCCTCACTCCTAGGAAATGTTAGGGACAAACTTCAGCCTAAAATCACTTTATCAGAGTCTCTCTGAACCACTGTGGTTGAACACACTGTCAGACTAACAGTGCATCAGTTTCCATTTCAATGCAAAACTAAACTGCTTTGCACCACATGCACTAAGGAAAGTTCTAATCAAGGAAAAAGAGGGACATAGAAGATCATACCAGACATAACCTTCATTACCGTGTATTATTTACATTGACCAACACTCTCTTGGTTGATATAAAGTGTTTGTATTTTAAACAAGCACAAAGCATCACAGAAGTTTACGTGTGTTTGGCGATGCTGAATTTTAACTTTGGTTTAGAAATGAAGTTCTCATCAGTTACTTGAAAGCATGCCTGGGCCATCTAGTGGAAGAAAGTTAAAAACTTAGCAAAATTACACTGCTGAACTCAAAAAATAAAAATCACATTATGTGTCACTAATGCACTAACAGCAGCAACTGCAGAGGCCTTTCCAACAGAACACATGCACATTTTGTCACTTCTAACCAATCAGCACTGGCATTCACAAAATTTCTCAAGAGGACTCAACCCCAAGCTGATTTCTACCTGGCTGAGCATTCCAAGGACTAGCATTGTAAGGTCAAGAAACCCTTGAGTAACATGCCCCCTCCCCCACACTCTTCCACTGCTAGTACTGGGGCATACCATGGTCTCCATTGTCAGAATTTCCCTTTCTTCCCTTTCCAGAGGAGTTCTTCAGCTGCTCTCTTGAGATCACTCAGTAACACTACAATAGCACAGTGATACTATCAAAAGCAAAGTACTATATATAGTACAATAACATACATTTAAAATTAAAATGAGATTTCTATTTCAAAGCAGCACCCTTAGTTATATACTGCTGCTACTCTATGTAGTGTTACAAATCAACTCCACTGAACTGCGCTAGAAGGTACTCTTCAGTAACTGACATTTCCATCAAGCTTGGATAGCACAACAGCTGGATAATGCTTGCAAGAGGATTCTTTCAGACAATAAAAACACTCCTGGCTCTGAAATAAAGTCTGAGATGGTTATAGTTATTCGTGTGGCAAGTGGATTATGTTTTCAGACTTCTCGCATCTCCTACACAACTGTGTGAGCAATGGGGTTTGTCTGCAAATGAGTAAAATAGGGAAGAGCTTCTGCTGGGTTTGGACTTCTTTGCATTAATCACCTCCTGAACTTCCATATTTTGTTACTGCAATGCATTCTACACAGTATCATTAGCTAGATGCCACAATTAACTGGTAAATAAAACTTACATCAAATTATTATTATTGCTATTTTATGCCTAGGAAATCATTCTGCTTTTCCATGTTCATCTCAGATTCAAGGTTTTACACATTCTCTAAAACTCTGAACAACATGCTGTTACCAGAGGAGTATAGAACAGCATTTGAATGGAGTTCAGGCGGAACTGTGCGCAAAATAGGCTCTGTAAGGAGGGAGAGGAGCTGGAGAACATGCAGCTTGGGAAGCCTGGGCCACACCACACCACACCCTGAAGACAACAGAGAAGCAGAGTCTGCAGTCCGAAGGAAGAAGATTAAGTCTGGCTTAAAATACTGCAGCACCTTTCAGTCTGGTGTCCTGCCTCAACGATCCTGGACTCAGCCCTATTCGCCTTCTACCACTGCACTGGTGAACAACTGCTCAAAATCAACAGACACAAACCAGTTGCTGCAGAACATCTGCCAACACAGAAATCTCACAGCCTCCAGCGTACCCCTACCAAGGCACACTCCTGACAGATACACTTATGTTAGAAAAGCATGGATTACAGCACTGCAATTTACCATAAGATAAACTCAATAATATACCCTGTATCTGTGATAAGATTTTCAATCATTCCTAAAAAACTCAAGATAAACTTTCATAAAATGCTAATTAAAGTTTTCCCTACTGAAGTGGCATGCAGCAGAAGTGTACTTGAAAGACAGCTTGGAAGACACTCATTACATCTGAAAAAAGAATGCCTTTTCCCAATGCCTTTTTCTTTCCCCTATTTCAACAAGATTAACCTGCTTCTCAAGATCTGACCTTCAGAAACAATGCCATCTGATCCCAGCATTGCATAGTACCAGCAGAAATTCAGAATAGCCATTTCTAACTAATATGCCTATCCACACCAAGGTCACAAATATTTTGGAAGTACAGTGTATAAATAGTTAGCAATAACTATTTAAATTCTTAATCAAGCACTTGGTTTTGATAATTATTATAATTTAAGTAACAGGATCAACTTATGGTTTTGTTTTTACATCCTGATACAACAGCAGAATACCTGAACTCAGAAAAACTCTTCAAAAAGGTTTTTATTTCAATTAAAAAGTTTTAATTGGAATAAAAAATATTTTTATTTAAATGTTTTGCAACTTTTAAAGGCACCAGAAGGTCCACATTAAACCTAGGTGTACTTCCATGTCCTAGCATCTCTTAAGAACTTTGGTACGATTTCACTAGATGTATCATTTAATACTGATTATGGTGACTTACACATGAAAAACTCAGAAAGTTCCTGTATTGTTTCCTAAGGGAATCACACCCTTCCAGATGTATTTCAACAATAATTTTGCACGTCATACTTTAAATCTCAATATCATAGGCTTAGAGTACCCACACTTCTATTATGATAATAAAAACTACATTAATATATTAATAGCCTTCAGCTTTCCTCTATGACTGTGTTGTGCTTGTAATTAAATTCTCTCTAGTGCGTTTAAACAGCAACATGACCTTCATGTTGGGCTACATATGCATCAGATGAAGAATACCTGATCTGAAAAGAGAGATCAGGAAAGCAAATGCAGTGTTGAATAGCTTAGTGGTTACGATAGTCAAGCCTGTATTTAGGCAGGTCTGTCTTCCAATTAGGCTCATACATTAATTTAAATTAGCAGCTGTCAGCAACATTAACTCCATTAAATAATGCAGATGCGTAAAAAGTCTTTTAGTTAAAACAGCAGAGCACAAACGTGGCCATTACCTGCAACAGAATGCAACATCTAAAGAATATTATTATGCAACAAGGGTGAACCACTGGCACCCGCCAAGGTTTGGGCTGGCACTGCCAACAAACTACAAAGCTTCCAGAGATAAGCTTGGCACTAGATACGAAAAAGATTACAACAGCTATGACTGACGTGAAGAATCTAAGGGTTAATGATATAGCCTTTGAACTGTGCTACAGCCATACAGAGTATGTCTCAGATTAACTGAAACTTGAAAATAACCTCAAAAAGCACCAGTCTCTCTAATTAAAGCATCCATTTTGTTATGATGAACCTTCCTCAACAGTTTCGGTCTGGCACATAGGCCTAAAAAAAACCGAGAAAACAAACTGCTTTCTGCAAAGAAAGTGGGTCACGAACAAGAGCCTACATCTAGTGTACATGCTGATCTGCCATGTATGCTCTTAACCTTGTTTACACAGCGGATTTATGTACCACTACAAGTATTAGCATGCACACACACTTCAACCAAACTGCTTAGTCTGGTACTTCAGAAGTCATGAATAATTAAAAATATAAAAAAAATTAAAAACAATCTGAAGTGCCACACACTGTGCATTCACAAATTTCAGAGCATTTAACTCTAAACTGCAGCTTTTACCATGAAATAAAAGCTACCTTAGCAACATGCAAGAACAGCATGCAACTGCTTTAAGTTAGAAACACTAAACACAGAAGACTTCCTACAGGAGGTTTCACTGACGTGCTATCAGCCAGTGTCCCACCAACTCTGGGACTACTAGGAGAGAAAAACTGCAGTCCAAACTAACACATTTTATCCCACGTTTGGGCTCCGATCACACGCTTTATTAAGAGCCCAAAGCACGAGTTACAGGCTCCGGGCAGGGACACTGCAGAGAAGGGAAGCGCTGCGCTCCCACCGCAGCTCCTCTCAAGGCACCTTTGGCGCCAAACATCGTCACGCAGCTCAGCCGCCTCGGGCCGCCGTAAGAACCGGCCACCCGCCCCACCCGAGGCGTGGGACGGTCCCTACGCGACCCAAGCCGGGCTGCCCGGCAGGGATATCGGCGGGACGAGCCAGGCCCCGCTCTGCCCCTCAGCGCACGAGTCCCTCGCCCGGCGCGTCGCGCTCGCCCGGGCCAGTGCGGCAGCCGCGGGCATGGGACCGCCGCGGGCACCTGGGCCCCGAGGTGACCTGTCCCGGCAACATCACCATCCCACCGGCCGCGCGGCGGCCCCCGACCCCAGCGCAGCCCCTGCCCTGCAGGCCGCGCCCCGCAGGCCGCCCAGGCCGCCGCCACGGCCCAGGCCGCCGCCGGCGCTGCCCGCGCCCCCCGCGCGGCGGGGTCCCCGGAAGGCCGGCCAGCGCGCCCGCTCTCCCCAACAGGAAATCCTGGCTGGGCTGGGCGCTGCGGAGGGAGCCGCGGCGCCGGGTTCCGGGGGAAGTGGAATTATTTTTTACCAGCGAAGAGATCAACTTCCACATCCGGTAACAGGGCCCTATACAAAGGCGCAGACTGACCTGGAAAAGCTTGGCCGGCCCGGGGGGTGAGGGAGAGACAGGGAGCGGAGATGGGGCCTTACCGTGCTGCCGGCCCGGTCGCCGCCGCCGCGACAACAACCCGGGGCGCTGGAGGCCGCCGCTCATCGGCGCCCAAAAGCCCCACACAAAAGTCCCCGCTGCGCCTGGCGGAGGGACACGGCGGGCGGAGGGGAGGGGCGCCGTGCCGCGCTGTGAGGCGCTGGCCCGCCGGCAGGCGCAGGCCCGGGCGCGAGGCGGGTCGTGCCGCCCGCGGGCAGCCGTCGGAGGGGCGCGCGGCACTTACCGCGGGGCGCGGGTATTACCTTAATAACAAATACCCCGGCAGAGGGGCGCGGCGGAGGGATACGGCCTCGGTGCCGCCTGCCGCGCATGCGCGGCGGCGCGGGGAAAGGCGGGGAAGCGGGTGCTGGAGGGACCCGCCATGTTCCGTCCCGTTTCCCGCCCGGCGGGGGGCAGGGCGCCGGCCGCCCGCTGGCCTCGGCGGGGGGAGGCGAGCAGCCGGCGAGCTGGGGCAGCCTCCCCAGGAGCAGTTCGAGAAATGAGAGGAAAAAGGGTCGCCGTGCTGCCCGCCGGCCCTCTTGGGGGTCCTCACTGCCGCAGGGCGGCGTGGGTTGCTCTTCCCGCCTCCTGGCTGCAGGGTCTCCGGTTGTGCGCCCAGGAGAGGGTGCCCTGTGAGCAAGGGCTTTGCTCCCTTGCTTTTTTTCGGCAGGGCTTTAGCGACTTTTGGGGATCAAGGAGGTTGCATTTCATACGGATAATAGCTCCAGACTGATCCTAAGCCCTTGCTGCTCTGTCAGAGAGCTCTGTCCTTCAGTCCCAAACTGGCCTTGGACCCAACATTGCAGCCCCTAAAATGTTCCTCCTAGTTATGTTCCAGGAGTGTAAAGCGGTCATGTTTATGTTCTCCCCAAAGCTATTCTGAGTAACAAATCTGATGCCACCATAAAGTGTAGTTCCCATAATCTGTATCCTTTAAAAAAGGTACAGTGACAAAACTCCAGTTATTTTGGAGATGACTACCTACTAGATACTCTTTATTCAGAGGCATACTTCTAACAATGTTTTTTACAGTTCCATTATTTTTTTGCCCTTGACACAGCTTGGGCAAAAGACAGCTGTATTCCACAGAGTGAACATCACCTCATAAATACCACAGAGCTGAGTCCTTGAGTCACTGCTGAAACAGACCTGTTCAGTCCAGCATAGAAAACCACGTCTCCCACAGGCAGCAACACAACAGCCCTCCTGGCTGAGTGTGGTGATGGGGCTTACCATGACCCTGACAGGGCTCTCTCCCGTTCTTGCCATATCCTTGGTGTGAGTTAAGCTGCAAGCAGGAATTCTCCATGCGGTTTTTGGAAAGCCAGTTAACCCTTTACGTGTTGTCACCCGTCTCAGGGTGACTTTATTTTTCCAGAAGTGATCAGCCAGAAGGTGGCAATAGAGAGCAAATCCAGACAACTCTCGAGGCTGTCACTTAACTGCCAGAGTGTAGAAACCTTAAATCCAGCCTTAATCACATCTCTTTTCCATTGCTGGCAACTGTCTGCGCTTCTCAACAAGCATTTAGCTTGCCATGTTATGGGTTTTCACTTACACAGTAGCAGTGGATATAGAAAACGTTACGATGTCCTCACAGGCATGCACCAACAAGAAGGAATGCCTCATGTTAGCTGCAGTGCTATGGAAAAGCAAAATGTTCTGTATTATTGAAAATCTTTTGTAGAGGTGAAGAAGGCAGTCTGCATTTAGTCCAGTCTCACTGTTTATGAGTTTTCATTATTACATTCACAACTTCCATCCTCAAAATAATCATGTTTAATGTTTGGGTTTTTTGGACAGAATATGTCAAAAGTACATCCAAGAGACATTCATGTCTTATACAGGCAAGTCAAAACACGTTTCACATCTGTAAAGTACCTGGTTTCTTCTCCTTTATTTTATACCACTTTATAGTCATTTATATTTTTTAATTAAATAACCTAATACATTCTATTTTAAAGCACACTGATTTCTGCTGTTTAAAATTGTTTATTCAGTACTGCGATGCAGTAACAAACATGCTGATAAGAAAATATGGTTTAACCTAAGGCAACAACACAGCATGTCATAACGCAATCAACATTAGCATGTTTTAACAAGTTATTTAATATGATAAAGCTCACTGTACAGGCAGGTGCTCTCCAACACCTTCCTATATATGGTTGGAGTTTGCCTATATGAGTAAGACCAAAAGATTTTATGACACAATTTCTTTATAGAAGAGAAACAATAAAAGGGACACCCTGAGTCCAGTTTGGAGAGCAGTTAATGTGATACTCCACATTAATTTGCACGCTTAGAGTCCAAGCTTGGACATCAATGGACTTAACTCTTTTCATCTCCTCACAACTTTCTGTGCATCATCTTCGCTAAAACAAATGGAGCAGTTCTGAAAAAGGCCCTTAAAAGAGCATTGTGTTAGTGGTATTATTCAGTTCAGTTTAATGTTGTTAAGAGTTTGTCAACTTCCTTTGGTATTAACCTCCTTGATTGCACAATATAGAAGACTTAGAGCTATCATCATTTCTCCCAGAACCTTTTACGTGTCTGAGCACTTCTAATCACTGCAAATTAGAGATGAAGGATATTGTTTGAGTCTTTCACATACACAATACAGCATTACCGTACCATTAAGTACAGCAATACAATTAGGACTTCTGGGCAATGCATCACTAGTGTTTTGGAAGGCTACATGAAGACACCTTTCTCATTTTGGCTTTATGACCTCCTTGTTTCCCAAAGTGTCATCAAGGGAAACTGCTCCTATTCACAAGTTTCCATTGGCAAAATGGAGCAAGAGGTTAAAGTACCAGAATCATTTAGGTTGAAAAAAGACCTTTAAGATCATCAAATCCAATCATAAACCTAACACTGCCCAGTTGAAGTATCTTAAATGAATCCCCCACATTGACAGTTAGGGGACAGATGGACTGTGCGGGACAGAACATCTTTCTGTTTTCAGGAGATCTCAATTGCACAGCCTGCCGCACTGACTGGAAACAGGCTCACCACCCTCTTCTCTCCCTTTTCCCGGTGTTCCAACTGCCAGCATGACTATACTGCTGCCATCCCTGAGGTACGATGCTTGTAGTAACACCACAAGCTGCACAGAAAACATAGACGTCAATAAAAAAAAAAACCGAGATCTGAACTTACAATGTTCCCCAGTCAATGCAGTTTTCTCTACAAACAGAAAGGATATTTTCATAAGGGGAGGCGTCGCGCCTTCCCACACCGAATCTCGCGCTGCAGTAGAAGGGCCAGTTTAACACCGCATACAAACGCTGATGTCCCGTGAAATGCGACAGACCTCAGAGCCCGCTTTCTGTGGCTTGGCCTCGGTAACAAAACGCCCCAAAACGAAGAACCTGGCCAGGTGGTGCTGCCAGACCAGGCCGGTCTCGGCCCTCCGGAGCGCCCGGGTAGCGGCAGCGGCGGTAAGGCTGGGGACGACCCCACGCTCCCCGAGAGCCTCCTCCAGGGTTGGCCCCAAGGAGCCAGCGGGGTGGTACTCATCTGAGCCACCCTGCCTCTCCCTTCTCTTCGCACCACCCCGGAGACACTCCCACCTCCGAGGGAGCTCCGCGGGGGGTAAGGGTTCTCGCCCTGCCGCACCTCACACAACCCGCGGGACAGCGGCTGTGAGCCAGCCTCCTGCCTCGGCTCGAGCCCAGCCCCGCGGCACGGATAGGGCCGCGAAGAATCCCCGCCCTCGCGGGGGGGCGGTGGCTCGGGAGGGAGGTAGGGAGGAGCGCCGTCGAGTTCCGCCTCAGCAGTCATGGCCGCCTAGTGTTTGCCAAGCAGCCGCGGTCGGACATGGGCTTGCCCCGGACCGGCGGGCTGAGGCAGCGAGTCCTCTGCGGCGGTGAGTACACAGGCTGGCCCACTGCGCTGGCCCGTGATGGCGCCCGGGCCGCCCGGGGAGCTAGGCCTGCAGAGCGGGCCGGCTCACCTCACGCCCTCCTCCGGCCGCCGCGGAAGGGGGCGGGCGCCCTTGGCGGGGAGCCCCGGGCCCGGCCCCGCCGCCGGAGGGGGCAGGTGGCTC